TTAATTTATATTAGATTAATTATCTTATAATTTATTTAATATTCTTACTTATTTTTATAATATCAAATAAAAATATTGAAATAAAGAAATTAATAAACTTATTTTAATATTTTGCTTTTAAATTGAATAAAAAATAAATATATATGATTTACAAATGTCTTTTTAAAGTATAAATAATATATGATAAATTTTCTTCTCAAATTAATTTGCTATAGTTAAATTAATATATATTTTGAATTATTAATAAAAAGAATATTTAATAATAAAGTGATTGTAATATATAAATCAAATATTATATTATTAAATATTATTAATTTGATAATTTTATTAATTTTAAAATTATAATAAGATTAGCAGCTAATATTTTTGTTTCTCTAATTTTGTAAACTTTAATATAATCATTTATATAATATTATATATAATTTATATTGTTATCTAATGAATCAAATATGAGAAATCTACTAAATAAATTATGAAATTGATAATTACAAGATTTTTTGAAATATATTTTTTATATTTCTGTTAGTTGATAAATTATATCATTATGAATACTTCTCTGATTTCTTGTGAAGTTGTCTAATTATTCTCTTAATATTGATATTACTAATTTCTTCTAAGAAAATAATCATTGATAATCTTATGGAAAACTACTCAGTTATTTATAGTTTATAGAACAGATCAATAAAATTTTTTATGCAAAAAATATTAATAGTTACAAATATTAATTATTAATTAACTTTATTATACTAATCTAACACTATTTCTATTTTACAATTCTTCTATTTATTACGAAATTTCTTCTCATTTTTCTCATCAAGATTTTATCTTTATTATCATACCAGAATAATGAATTATTTTGCTTTTATTTATTAGTCAGCATCTATAGATGCATTCTCCATATATTCAGGATCTATTGATGCACTCTTCTATCATGCTTAATGATATATCAATCATGACGTGATAACATAGTGTGTCGGTATATCAACATCACTGTCAATCATGTAACTACATATTTTTCAGCGAGTTTTTCAGCACAATCGATTTCATAATACATGTGCATGTACATGTAATATGCGTTTTTCAGCATATCTTTCAGCACTATCGATTACGAAATGCTGCACATTTTTTCAACAAGTTTTTCGATACAAGATCCCGTAATATTGTCAGCACATTTTCAGCACAATCTGTCAGGGCGATCCTAACTTTCAGCACAAATCTCTCTTTCTAAAATGTTATTTTATTATGTCTTGTTTTCATCGATATAATAAGAATTTAATAGACTTAAAGTAATATTTCTTTAATTAAATAGATAAACTAGCGAAAATATATATAAAGAATGGCTCTTGAACCATCAATAAAAAAAAATAAATGAACAAGAAATAAAATGATCAAATAAATTTTTTTCACAGAAGTAATTGTATGCAATTCTTTCTCAATAATAAAAACTCTTGTAAAACTCTTTGTAAAGACATCGTATTGGTTAGGTTCTTGCGCCAGAAAGACAACTCCAGAAAAGGAAACGCATCAAATAATTAAATGAGTTTTAAGACTTTTATCTAGATAAAAGATTTATTAGAATTAGCCTAGTTAATAGAATATAAAAGTGATCAATTAATTATTCTAATATCAATCTTGTTTTATAAAAAGTGTACTAGATTCATGAAATTACTACTAAATAATTTATTGAATATTTAATTTTGGATTATTTAAAAAGATCATTTATTAATAAACCAATATGCACATTTAATATGAGTAGTTGGTGTTTTATAAACTGAATTCAAATCTTATTTTTAACTTGAATCAGGTTTTTAGTTTGAGTTCATATTGAAATATTTGAATATTAATTAATAGTAGATACATAATAGAAATAGTTTTAAGTAAACTTATTGATTAAAAGCAAAAATTACAAATAATATCTACAGAGATATATGAATTTAACTACATTATTAATTTTCGAGATTAAAATTATTTGGTGAATACTAATAACCGCTATGGAAAATATTATTAATTTGAAAAAATAGAATTGCAAACGACCAAATGTAAGGAAATTGCAAGACTAATAAATGCGATTCGATATAAGATGATGCTCTTGATATTTTAAGAAAAAGAAAGTTGAAAAAAATCTATGATGAAAATAAAGATGAGGATGTTAAAGAATTGACGAGGAACACTAGGTGTATTGACATGTAGTAATGGTAAGAAATATAAGGAAATTGCAAGACTAAATAAATGCGATTCGATATAAGATACTCTTGATGTAGAAAGAACGTTTGTATTGACATGTAATAACGGTAAGTTATAATTCATGATATTTGATTTGGGCGATAGCTGTAAACGTTTTTCCTGTAATTTATTAAGCTCTATATCGGCAGCTTGAAATTTATATGTATCATTTTTCTTTCGCATATACATGGACACATTCCAAGCTCGTATATGCCGATAAACTTCATGAGCATTTGGGCGTTTAGCGGGATCTGAATCCCAACATCGTTTCATTAAATTGACATAGCATTCAGGAACTATCCCACTTGGAATGTCAGGACGTAATCCATCACAGATAGCTAATACGAGGCTAGCATCATCAACTTTTCTATCAGAAAATGGAATCTTCCCGGTTGCCATAAACCAAAGTAACATGCCAAAACTATATATATCCGCTTCAAATTTAAATTCGTAACCACGCAAAACTTCTGGCGCAATGTATGCTTTTACTCCGTAAAGCTTCCGGTTTCGTTCTTGATCTATTGCATGTGATAATCCGAAATCTCCTATTAAGGTCCATTCCTCATCATCATTAGGTGCGTGCCGCAATATATTACTGGGATGAAGATCATGATGGATGAACTTTCTTTTATGGATGGATCGCAAGCCACGAATTATATCATATAAAATATCTAATTTCTTTTTCCATTTTATTATTGCAAATTTTTTGTTCAGATAACACCATAAATCTCCTCTATTGGCATAATGGGTTACTAGCATGTATTCACCGGTAATTTCCTTGGTAATACCATAGCAGTGCAAGATTCGACGAGAACGACATTTGTAATGCGTTTTGAGCTAAAAAAAAAAATGAATAATCAGAATTTATTATCCAACTTTATCGCTCTAGCTGTGCTGATTGGTTTGATCGTTAACAAAGCCAGCCAATTTATAAGGAGAGGAACAAACAGAATGACAAAAGCTCAGGTATAATATAATATCCGTGATTTATACACAGTATCACATACATGATATTTAATGTACCATACCGATACTTTTTATTACCTCATGCATTAAGTTGTTTAAGGATGTCCGATCCAGGCGCTTCAGCGCTATGTTCGTTGGTCCAGCTCGTCGCCATTTATATTCTTTTTCATCCCAACACCAACGTGGTCCCTCTTTCCATATTGCTGAATATACTGTACCAAATCCACCTTTGCCGATTTGTTTGATATCCGAAAAATAAGCATATGGAATGTATTCAAAATAATCACGATGATTTGAAGACATTAGTTGTGTTTCCCGTATAAATTCATCATATTCTTCATTCCCACTTGTCCATCTATTAAAATATTGTTTAAAATTTTCGTGTTCACATTCCTTACACCAGTTCACCTTCAACATTAAAGCACTGCAACGCTTGCAGGATTCTAATTCTACAATAAAAGCGTCCATTTTTTCTAGATTCTTGCCCATTTCGTTCTATCGTAAACGGCATAAAAAGTTATTACGAAACTTATTTTCAAATTGAAGCTCATAACGCTTGATATATTTATTATATTTATATTGTTCATGATAAATTTTGTATTACTTTTAATTTTGGCGTTAGAGCCTCATTCATGTATATGATAGCTTAGAGCGGTGCTTTTGCATGTGTTATTTATACGACTTCAATAGACAAATACGGCTTGGTGCATAAATGACTTCTCATTCAACTACAACGTTCCAATTCGGTTAAAATCGGTTTTCAAGAGAACTTCTTTTTATTAATGGAACACAGGTCAAAGTCCTTTACAATGGGGGGGCCATATACACCAGACTCGGTTATGATCGAAATCACATTGATTAATCAATAGCTATATATGCTATGCACCGGATTTAATAATAAAAGCACTATATACCGGCCCAAAAGTTCTAGGTCAATGCGGCCGTTATAAAGTACTTACATTTACGCATATTATCAAATCATAAAACAGCGATTTCAATACAAATATTTTAAGCATTGGACGACTTTGAATCGGAGGTGGTCAGCTGGCTGTTTGAAACGTCAGCTTTCAATCTTCATGAAACAATTAGAACCGTACACGTCCAATAACTTATGGACAGTCAAGCTTCGATATAACAAATCTCTAATATAAATTCCAGAACAAGTTAAACATTAATCTTATTATTCGTTATACATATCAAGGTTTAATCGGATGCTTTAAAATAAAATCCAACGTGTTCATGTATGACTGTATTGTGTGTCACTCTTCCTCGTGATGTCAGTTCTTGGCAAATACTGTGACTGGATTAACCAAATGATAGTAACATCATCATTGTTTTTTTTTAAAATAAACAAATCGCCGCCGCCTTATAAACGTGGTATTTAAGTTCAACAGCTGTAACCAATTATCGTGTCTTCTCTTCGATTTCTGATCAATGAACATTGGAAAAATTTACGAGAACAGGAAAAAATGATTGAAATTTTTAAAAACATTATAACAATAATGAATTTGTGGCCGAAGAAATGGTCGAATCACATTACTGAAAGGAGAATCACGTTGGGTACGAGTATTACATAATAAGATGGACTTCATTAAGAATTTCCTAATTAGATTAAAACAAAAAGCGCCAATTTTATTGATCATTATCGTTATCTTTTTTGCCGCAACACAAATTTCTGTATAGAATTCTCTTTGGATCGAACGTCTGTACAAACCTTTAAATATTTTTTTCATCATTTTTCAATTTAATTCCCTCGTAAAAAATAAAAAAACATCAACTCGTGAATATAACCGATTGCAATTATTTATAAACTAAAATTTATCTTTCAGCTTCCTCGCATTTTTAACTACGCTTATAGCAGTGTTGACTACATCGTCTCGAAAATACCCAGTAGATTCCCAGAACAAAACGGGGATAAATCTAAAAATCAACTTTTCTTTTCGAATGTACGAATGTAACAATATGGGCAACAAGAATTGCAGGAAGTTCAGTCGCAGCTCAACATTTTACATGGTGTTTCAATTTCTCAGTTCCTAAAAGAGACACTTTAACTGTCACTCCTTTACACATTATGAACAGTCTCCTCAAAAATGCAAGAGAAGAAGGTAATAATATCTACTGTGTATTTCAGGTCCATGTTTTACAACACGTTGATAATAATGTGATGCTGGTAAATTGGCAAAATTTTTTGGCTGCTGAATGCAATGCCACCATATGATGATATTTGAGGTATGTGGTCGTTGTCATCGCTGCTATCGTAAATTTTATAATCAATTAACTTCAATTGTTATTGTTTCTTTTCTTTATATATTACTACATACGATATGTACATTATATAGTCATCATCTACATGTAGAATAAAATTCGTCTTGTGCACGAATCATTATGCTTTTCAGCCCACAGATGATTAAATAGTAACCCAATTCTACTGGGTTTACAGAATAACAGTATGGTAAGGCGGGTAAAATGATAATATATAACTTGTACTATTGGTATGAACATTGTTTCATAAAATTATCTAAGTGTTTTTATGTTTTAGTGTTTCATTATCAATTTGTCGTGTTTCTTGTAAAATGCTTTAGTGACATACTAATATTGAAAAAAGGCCAATTCTATTTTCTAACTTAGGTGTAACTAGGATTAAGTGTGTTAAACTAAATATTTTATTATTAAAGGCTTTTTGATGTTCAAAAGGTTTCTCGTGACAACTTGTATACAAATCGGCCTGTAGCGAAGTTTCTGATAACAAAAATGCATTTCGAGATGACCAATAAAAAAAGATTAATCGACAAGACTTATTGACGTGGTTTGAAAAATAACAATTTAAATGGTTTCAATAGTCAAATAACTAATATATTCAAAATCAAATGTTGAACTTAGTTTCTGCCAACAAATAACGAGAAAGTTCGAAGTATGGATTGTTTATAATGAAGTCCTCTACTAATTGTACGAAAGACAAGATTTGAAAATCAAGATAAAACACTAATTTACAAGATGAGTTTAAACTACATATCAATTACATATTTATTGTTTAACGTTAACTTGCACAAAAATTATACACTGAATTAATATCTCTTAAATTAGACTTACAAAATTTAAAAAAAGCACATAACTTTATAATTTAATTAAATTTTATCTGCTGAAAATTTTTTATTATGAATTTTTAAATGGATTATAAATTAGTTTTTTAGTTCAAAATATGATATTTTGCTAATACTATATAATTTCGGGATATTCGTTCAAATTTTATAATAAATATTATATTAAAATAATTATAGAACAAAACTCAAAATTATTATTCTAAAGTAATTATTGAAGCAAAATTCTGAAGTATAATCTTTATTCCAGAGCAAAGGAACTGAGTTTGATTTAATTTGATTATATCTGACACTATTGCAATTCAATCAGAAATTCAATTTATTTTTGATTTTTATAAACATAAAATTTTTTTACAATATTTCTATATAAATAAATCATATTTATACTTACAAATATATATTTTTTCAAATTATTTGCTCAGAATATTTAATTTTTTATTATATATATTTCAAATTTAAAATCAATTCAAAATTAATATAATTATATATTTTTAAATTTTGATAAAATTTGATTAATAGATTTTTATATTATATATATATATGTTATATTTCTTTTAGTTTAGATCTTTATTTTGCACTTTTTATATTATATTTTATCTTTTGTATTAAGATTAATTTCACTTTAAATATATAAATGATCATATATTAAATTAATTTGATTTAATACAGTACTTTGTAGAAGTATCTAATCTCTTCTAACTTTTTATAGACCATGTATAATGCATCAAATATTTCTAGATATAAAGAATATTATAAATACTGATTATAATATCTTTTATAATTAATAAAACTTTTATATCAGATATTATATATTCATAAATTTTCACATCTCAAATATAATTAGTTATTTTATAATACATATCTTAATATCTAATAATCTAATTTTTAACATTTAGTAATCTAATTTAAACAAAATATAATCATTTAATTTATCTAGTCAAGATAAATCAAATAGTATTATTTTTATTCAAATCAGATTATTAGATATTAAAATATTATATCTTTAAAATGGCAGATTCATTTTTTTGACACTAATCAAAATAAATCAGTCAATTTAGGATGTAATATCTTGATTTTCAGTAATTTGATTTGAATAAAAATAATATTATTTGATTTATCTTGACTAGATAAATTGAATAATATTATTTTTATTTAAATCAAATTATCAAAGATCAAAATATTATATTCTAATTGACTAATTTATTTTTTTTTTGATAATTAATTTTTAATAAAAAATTGATCAATAAATATAAATTATTTATTTTATTTTAATATTTAATAATCTAATTTGAGTAAAAATATGACTATTTAATTGATCTAGTTTAGATAAATTATATAATATTATTTCTTACTCAAATTAGATTATTAAATATTAAGATATTATATTCTAATATAATCAATTTATTATATTTAGATATGAAAATTTATAAATATATAATATTAATATAGAAACTTTATTAATTTATAAAAGATATTATGATTAGTATTTATAATATTCTTTATACTTAAAAATTTGATATATTATATATAATTTATAAAAAATTAAAAGAAATTGAATACTTTTATAATTAATATATAAATTATTATACAGATAATTATTATATAATATCTAATTATTAATTTAGATTATTTCTATTTTTAATTAATTACTTCTTTATAATTTTACTTAATTCTCTTATATTATTTATTATATGATTAATTATTATTATATTATTAAATTAATTTAGCTTTCTGATAATATAATATAAATTTATTAATTAATTAAATAAAATTTATATATATTTTAGATTATTAAATTATTATTAAATTATTTATTTTTTATTTATTTATTTTATATAAATATATTGCTCTATTTTATAAATTAATTTTCAGATTTAAATTAAAAATAAAATTATAATTAATTATAATTAAATTATAATTCTTTAATTAAATATCACAAGTTATAATTAATTAAAATATTATCTTTAATTTAAATACTATTTAAATAATAAAATCATAAGTATTTATAAATTAAAACTATTTACTTTATATTTTATCTTGTTCATAATTATAAATAAATAATTTTATAACTTAATAATAATAAATATAATTATTTTAATATTATTTATTATATCTTATACTCATATTATATTATATATTTTAGTTTTTATTTAATTTGAAATATAGTTAGATTATTTATAATCATATTTCTAAATTTTTCAATTATTAATTAATTATAATTAAAAAATCTCTTTATAATTATATCTCTTTTTAATTATCTAATTTTATTTTTTTTATAATTATTATAAAAAGATCTAATTATATAATATTATTATTATAGTAATATAAAATTTTTTAATTCTATAATCTTTTCTTGATTATGTAAAATCATATATTTCTATAATTTTCATTTATTTTATAAATATTCCTATTTTTATATCATATATTTATTTCTATTACTATAATTATTATCATATTTTTATTTTTAAATATTATATTTTATATTTAGTCAAGATCTATATTTTTATAATATAATATTTATATATATAATAGAATAGTATAGTAAAAGATTATTTTTAATTTTGATGAAATAGTTATATTTGAAATATTAATTACAAATATCTTTTTATATTCTTTAATGTTCTTTCACATCTTTCAATATCTTTTCACATCTTTTAATATTTTTCATATTTTTAATATCTTTTAATATCTTTTCATATCTTTCAATATTTTTCAATATTCTTTTATATTCTTTAATATTCTTCAATATTTTTTAATATCTTTTGATATTCTTCAATATATATATTTAATATTTAAACTATAATACTATTACGACAAATTGGTAAGTGAAGTTTCACTTTAATTCACCTTAATGATATAGGGTTAGAAGAGACTGAAATAATTAAAGATAATAAGAGAGGAATTAGACTATACTTTCAATAATAACAAAG